CAAAATGGCGGACAAGAAGAAGTGTTCGCACAGATGTTGTGCCGCCGCTTTGTGCAATAATCGCACCGACAATAGGCAAGACCTCACTTTTCATGCCTTTCCTAAGGATACAATTCGCAGAAAAGAATGGGCGTGGAAAATGAAGCGAGATGATGAACAATTTGCTTGGAATAGCTCACTGTTTTGTTGCGAAGAACATTTCAAGCCAGACGACTACCGAAAAAGTTTAACTGGACTACGGAATGACTTGAAATCAACGGCTGTACCATCAGTGTTTCCTTGGACAATTGATAAACAATGTACAGATTCGGACAGATCTCAGAGACTGGAAAGACGAAATATAGACAAAGTAAAGAATAGTACTGAACTTATTAGTAGCAATACGAATGTGAATGAAACCGAGGATATAAGCTGTTCTTCTAAACAAGAAATTCCTAATTCCGAAACTCCAACGATCGATGAACTTTGTGCACGTGTGAAACAATTGGAAATGCAGCTAGAACTACCGAAATTTGGTCTAGCGAGATTTTGTGGAAGCGATGATGATATATATTTCTATACAGGATTCCCAAAATAYGAGATTCTTATGGCATTTTTGGAGGTATGTCGAACCTTGTGCTGATTCATTATTGACATGGAAGCATGCTAGGACTAAAGCTGATGAGCAACTTGGAAAGTGTTTTCCGTATTTACACGATGAAGACAGAGAGAGATTGAGAAGCAGAGACATTCAACCAATTGACCAGTTGTGGATGTTTTTGGCAAGAGTTCGATTAGGATTGTTTGAAAGAGACCTTGCCTTTAGATTTCAAGTGGCCCTAAGTRCTGTGTCAGATGTTCTTATCACATGGACCAATTACCTGTATATTATGTTAGGGAGTTTGCCCATTTGGACTTCAAAAGAAAAACACAGTGTCTAGATGCCCGGCAGCCGGTCACGGTCTCTAAAAAACTCGGTGCCCGGCAGTCCAAAATTTCTCCAAATTACAGCCAAATAACTGTTTCTGTTGAAACCAGATTAGGCAAAGTTTGTTTAGGAATAC